TTTTCAGGCTTGCTGATAAAAGTATGTAAGTCAATTTTGGGCCTATCATTGTTATCATGTGCAAGATGAAATAATTGGCCAAGCTTAAGGCCTTGAATTAGTTTGGATTGACGTTAGCACTGTGTGAATAAAAGCATCTCCGTTATTAATTTTGATAAGACAACTACCGAGGGCTCAGGCAAACAGGAGCACCATTGTCCGGCACACATTTGCAACGTCACGCAGCAATGCAACGCAACGCTAATCAATCGGGTTCAGGGGCACATTCCTGGGAAATGGCCAGTGATTAGCCTTTAATCTCATATATGAATCTCTCAAAGTGGACAATCCGGTCTGTATTTAATCTGCTGAACAGTATCTGTTAAACCCATACTGCTTATACTAAGAGTTTTATTAAAAGCTACTTCTTTAGTTGTGGTTTAAGTTTGGACAATGCCTGTGATCGAGGGTCAGATGGTGTTTTCTGACGTTGGCTTTGAAAGTTTCTGCAGAACAAAAAAACAACAAAAAAAATAATTTCCATCTTCCATCCCAGTGGTCGACTGCAGTTGAATTGGCAGATCCCAAAGTGTGAATGTTAGTTGAGTCTAGATACTGATACTGATTGTCTAGATACTGGATATGATACAGTCTGAGGCCGTTTCTCAATCTCGAGGAAACCGGCTTCCAAGCCAATATTTCAAGGATGCTTCGTCATCGAGTGCCGCCGAAGGACTGTTCCAATCTCCAGCATACTTGGAATTCCACCGAGGCCGCGTCCTTGGTTTGGGGGAAATTTTTCGAGGCTGCACATGGGTAGACTTCGCGTCCTTAAAATCCCCACAATGCTTTGCGCACGGACCAATTTCAAAAACCCTTGCGGAGAATGGCTGAACCGACGCAGCACACATTTAAATGTAAGTATGTAGTGGCGTAGAACATGTGTTGGTGAATATGTTACTTTGTTACATTTGTTATCACCAAAAATGTGTTCCGTGAAAGAAAAGCAAGTTCATAATTAGATAGACATCGTGAGGTATTTATTTTCGGTACAGTTTATGTTGAAACTGTTAGAGAGAGTGGCACACTTGTTAGCCTGTTCCATTCTTCTTCGTTTTCCGAAGCCGTGGCTTGGAAGCATACTTGCTTACTTTCTGAAGGAAGTGACTTACCAAGCCAGCATCCTCGCGATTGAGAAACACCCTGAGTCTTTCATCAGTAAATAACAATTTTAGTAAATTAAATACTGACAGAATAGAGAAAGGTTGGACGCAGAAGAAAGAAAACTGATATTTTTGTGAGTAAATCCACAGCAAGAAGTTCATTTGTTTGTAGAAAAAACCGTCTGTAACGCCGGGTTTTGGAGATTATTGTTTTTGAATAAAGTTCCACCATTTGTGTCGCTTGCACACAGACGTCATCACTCTTTTTGCTCCAAAATAAATCTCATTTTAAAGTGTTTGTGTTGAGCTAGGGGCTTTAATTAATCTGCTTATCCTGTTTGTACTCAATTATGTCCAATGTATTGCCCTTTCTGGAAAATGAAGCTCACAAAAATGGAGATGAAGAGACGTAGAAGAAGAAGACAGCCAGGGACATTTCCAAATAAAAGCAGGCCATGCATATAGTATTAGAATAAGGAGTCGGACAAACAATTTTGTCATTGTGGAAAAAGTAACGAGCTCAATTCTGATTTATTTTTATTTTCTGGACCGCACGACTTTTGAGATTATCGTCTGTTGCGTAGGCTTTTGTGAGTGTGATGACGGAGAAACACAAGCTCCTATGTGTCATTGCGTCACATACACAAACACTTTCTAAAAACCACACACAACACACACACACACACACACACACACACACACACACACACACACACACACACACACACACACACACACACACACACACACACACACACACACACACACACACACACACACACACACACACACACACACACACACACACACACACACACACACACACACACACACACACACACACACACACACACCGCTCAACACTACCCAGATATCCTGCCTCCAGCTCCATCTATTACCTCCACGCTACGTTTCAGATCAGGGGGCCTCCTCAGTCCACTCCCAAGTCCCAGAATGGTGCACTGTTTTGGGGCTGTGTCGCTGCCACATGCCCCCTCCCTTCTGGGTGTATTTCGCCCTGTTTAAGATGCACCGTCACGTCCCAAGCTACCGCCACCACTTTCTCATTCTGTCCACAGCTACCGGCAGCGGGAAATTATGACAAACGGCCCCGGTTTTTATTGCTGTTTTCTCTCAGTTTGTTTTCCGCATTGAGAGAAAGATTTCCATTTTTGGTGATGACTCAACATAGAGATTTGTGGTTTGACCTTTTACGAGATGTATGTGTATGGGTGTTTCTCGCTGATGTGTATTAATGGGAGTGTGTGTCTGGGCGAACAGAAGCAGGATGAGGGTGTAAATGTTTCTGTTTCCTGGTTACTGTTTATCTGTTCTCTACTGTGAAGACCAAATGGCAGTACGAGGAAACTGTCGTAGCCACAAGTCCCTGGAGGTGACATCAGTAAAGCTTTGAACGTGACGTAGACGTAGCGGTTAGCAGTGTCGCCTTGCAGCAATAAGTCCTGGGTGTTTCTCTGGATGTCGCTCTGGGTGGAGTTTGTTCTCTCCGTGACTTTGTGGTTTTTCTTCAGGTTCACTTGATTCCTCCCAAAGCCAAAAGACTTGCAGGCCAGATCCAACATGACGTGGACCTTTTTGGTTCCTGTACCACTTTCAGGACATTAATTATACTGTGGTGTTTCTCAAAGTCAAGGATGGATCATTCGACGGCTGGCTTTTAAGGACGTTACATCATAGAGTCCAAACCAAAGTCTGTTCAGTTCTGAGGTTCTTTCAAATTCTTCTGGAGACTGAGTTCTTCGTTCAGAGGATTTGCAATTATCTTAATCCTCAGTGCTCCTAAAATACCCACAATCCCATGCACCAAATGCATATGTTGTCGCTGATTTGGAAAAACAACCAAGATGAGCTCGTCACCTCAGCGGTCCACAGAAATGTGTTTGTGAACACGTTTGAGGCCAGACATTGGCATCTGAATTGCCGAATCTTCTCTCAGAGTCGGCATATTCTCACTTCTAACTTTTTGAATTAATGGTTCATTTCGGAGTTAGTAATTGTTGAAATAGTGGACATTATAATTAAGACGGTTTAGAAGTGTTTCTGTCATGTTTGAGTTGAAAAATGCTGAGCGAATGAAGCTTTGTGGCTTTGAGGAGAGCAAATCAATTGTGTTTTGTATGTTAGTCATTTACAAGAGTTGTCCAAATCCTTGTTGACTTTTTGACCTGCTTTCTTTAAATCTGTATTTATGTCATCGCAATTTTTGTGTATCATTTTAAGTATGAAGAAATAGCTACTTACAGTGTACCTAGAATCTACTTCCCACAAACACAGATCTACCATTTCGTCGTCTGTAACTTCCCCCTTACTGTGCACACAACAGACGTCACATGGTCCCCTGATTTTTAGCACGGAGACCCGCCATCACAGCAGTACTTCTATGCATGAATACAACTTCTTGGTCCCAGATGGTCATTTGATGAAACACAAATTAGCATAGCATGCAAACACAATTTAAAATAATGAAGGTCTCCGATCGTGATCGTGACAACAGGGGTCCTTTTAAAGCAAAGTTTCAAAACCACATCAGAGCTGTATGTTCATGTTTATGTATTGTTTTTATGTTTGGTCTGCTTTAACTCTCTGTTGACAACTGATCTTTAGCATTCCCTGCATTGCAACACAACACATGAACGACAATGAAACCTGGTAAACATAACGTTCAAATGTTAGTTATCTGGATTTGGACCAGATTTAAAAGCAAGTATATTATGATGACATTTGTATGCTAGTCAGGAACGTGGATTTGTATTAGCATCTTTCAGTAGAGCAACTAACTAAGCAAAATGAGAAGAACTAAACTCCTCAGGGACCATTAAGAGTGACGGAATCTCCCACACTATTTATACGGAGAGTCTTCTGACAAACATCAAATATCGTGGCACATGAACAGCACTTCCACTCCCTGCTAATTGGTTTTTACTGGCTCATAATATGGCAAAACATCCAAGCAAATGTGCAAATTGAGAAGAAGTTGCAGTAGTGATTATTTTGGAACTGTGGCTTTTAATTTAACCCAAAAAGGCCTACGGTGACGGTGAATTTAACATTTTCTGGAGGTAGCAGTCAATCAATGCTGTACACAGGAACAGCTCTTCCCTATTGTGCACATGTGATTCAGGCTGTGTTTTTGTATCAAGTCAGAGATGCAATATGTACATGTGCTCCCTCAATAATCTCTAAGTTCTCACATTTAACTGTGCTTCTTATCATCTGTGTGAAAACATCCGACCGTATTGATCACAGCCTGCCAGACGGACTAATATTGACTCATTGTGACTTCCCACCAGATGCTCAGATTAGAGGAGAGCTTGTTTGTTTGCAGAGGCAGGTCACAGGTGAGCAGTCCCAATGAAAACAGCAACTGTAGGTAAACTGCAAAGACCTTGAGTATTATGGGTTTCATATATTAGACACAAACCATGTAGTGCAGGGCTGTCAAACTCAATTTCATCGCGGGCCACATTCGCATAAAGGTTGCACTCAAAGGGCCGGTTGTAACTATATAAATATATAATATATATATAAAATAATGTATTATATTACATTATTGCCTCTGAATTGGATTATTATCGGATCGGATAATAACTTAATGAACTACGTTTGAAAGCAGAAGTCCAGGGCAAATAATTGCAAGTCTCTTCAGTGCGCATGTCACAAAACGAGATGCATTGTGGGACATGTAGTTTATGGGCAACCTGCTTCTGTAAAGTGGCATGTAACCGTATAATAAACGTATTATATTCTTTGCAAGCTCTTGCGGGCCACATAAAATGAAGTTGCGTGCCGGATTTGGCCCCCGGGCCTTGAGTTTGACACCCCATGCCGGCTTAGACTATGAAACATTTGTTGTGTGCAAAGGATCTCCTGTGGCAAGGTTATAATAATATTGTGTGTTGCTCCTCAGGTGAACACCAGATGGAGCTGTTGGACTTTGTCGCAGCCAAATTCCACGAGGAAGGAGGAGTGTTCAAACTATTGGTGAGTAGAGAATGATGTTTTTGTGTTGAACAACAGGTAGACACTCTAAATTCCTTCCTAGCTGTCTCAGTGTTTCTATCTGCTCGTCTCTCGGTTTCAGATCATTGACTCCATCATGGCTCTGTTCAGAGTCGACTTCTCTGGACGAGGAGAGCTGGCTGAGCGGCAGCAGAAACTGGCCCAGATGCTCTCCAGACTGCAGAAGATCTCTGAAGGTCAGCACCAGGAGTGTGTGTGTGTGTGTGTGTGTGTGTGTGTGTGTGTGTGTGTGTGTGTGTGTGTGTGTGTGTGTGTGTGTGTGTGTGTGTGTGTGTGTGTGTGTTGTCTGTGTGTGTGTGTGAGTTTCTGTGTGTGTGTGTGTGTGTGTGTGTGTGTGTGTGCGCGTGCACGTGTGCCAAAATGTGAAAGCCATATACAATAGCTATAGGAGCCAAAACGTGGGCACCATGGCTATTGTTCCTGTGAAGGTGAAAACAAAAAAGGGTAAAAGCGTCTAACATGTAACCATAACAACATACGCCTTTCTGGACCCAGGTAGTACGGCTACCTTTTGCACAGAGTCCGATCTACAGCAGCTTCAAGTGACTGGACGCAGCACAGAGATACTCCTACGAACAATGAAAACAGAGGATTCAGCTAAAACATCTGTTGCATGTGACCTGGAAATATGTGGCCTTGAAAGTAACCAGTATGTAGCACTTCCACCTGTTTACTCCCAAAACAAAATTCCATTAAGAAAGGAAAATATTCCCTCTCAGGAGGACGTGGAACCATGGGAATACCTGAAAGAAGTAAAGATAACACAAATATAGCCATATATCTTATCTGACATATACAGGAAGTCTCTGCAGAAATGATTATTGCTGTTTATTGAAAAATACTGCCTTTGTGTCTCTCACATGGTGCTCTCAATTATGCATAAAGTATTAATTTAATTATGTGTTTTATTGTTCTAAAACATTAGAATACAACGTAGCAGTGTTTCTCACCAACCAAATGACAGCTGATCCTGGGGCAGGAATGAGGTAAGAGTTGTCTAATCCCTAATTTTATTATTATTTTAATATTCTGTATGTCGTTTAAAGGTCCCATGTCATGGCCATTTCTACTGATCATAATTCCATTGTTGAGACTAAAATAAATGTATATTGTGCAATTTTCCAAACTCACTCCCTGTGAGCCCAGTGGCCGTCTGCAAGACAGAGTGAAACTCAGCCCTGGGCACACACACACACCCGCAGCCTGGCTGGGAGTTTGTGTGTGTGCTCAGGCTGAGTTCCGCGGTGTCTCGCCGACCCCACACCAGTGAGCCAGCTCACAGTGTCCCGCTCCTGGCAGCAGCGAGCCTCGCAACGTTCCTCCGAGTGTGTGTGTGTGAGGAAGTCCACGGATTGGTCCAAACGTAACGGCTCCGCGGACGTTACGTCACTATACCCAAAATACGTCACAGAAACCAAGAAGTAAACAATGGAAAAAGAGAAATGTCCAACGAGGCGTTCTGGGGCAGCATAGACAGGTCTTCTCTGTGTTAGAGTTTTACTCGCTACAGGGTTT